ATTTTGGGTTTTTTTCTTTTCCTTTCTCAAGTACTTTTGTACTATTACTTCTTACAACAACAGACATGTTTGTTTAAAGCAGTGTGATATCCATTTTGAAGATTTTTTTATTCCAGCGCAGTTGAAGGGATATTTCCTAACCTTTTTTGTTTCAAAATTAAAGGATTCTTGAGTTGCCACAAATATTAAGGACTTTCTTTGACTCTTCTCAGTTACAGCAATAAGACTAAGTAACTCAGTAAATTCATTCTCTTTTGGAAATTGGTAAGTACTTGCTTTACTGAAGTGCAAAGTCCAATTGAACCAAAATAGGTTTATTTAATAAAGAATTAAGCATCCTCACTGCAAATATCTAACCATGAGCAATATATATTAGTTGACCAACCACTTGGGAAATATATTGAAAATGTCAAGTTCTGAAAAGAATACCGTCTTTTTGAAGTGAAGTAGGGCTCTTTCTGCTCCAGTAATGGTCTGTTTCCACCTAAGTACAGTATCCTCTGGCAACTAGGTGTTCTCTGCACTCTCTAAGTTTCAAACTAAAGTCTTTAGACAACTCCCTACAATAGCAACCACTCTTTCTTTGTAACAAAAAATACCTTTGATATTCCTTTTGGAACTTTAATGAATCAAAGTAAAAATATTAAACTCCAGCCCTCCCATTCCATCTCTTACAAAATATACACTTTACATTAAATCTCGTGTGGTGTTTTGAGACATCCTCCCAGTGCGAAAGGTGCCATATCAAATTTAAGAATTTTTGTTACTTGTATTCCCTGAGAAACTTGCAAAGTTTTTTTTTACAACAGTTCTTTATAGAATCCCAGACCAATCTGGAGATCCTTACGCTAGAGAGCAAGGTTTGCTTTGATCCTTTATGGAGTCTGTGGTACCAGCTAATCTGTTCAATTCCACGGATTATAAACAGGTTCCAATTTTGAAAATAATTTAAGGTACAGAATCTCAAATTTGTGATGCTCTCTATCTGACATAAAGGAGACATAACTAAATCTTTCACTGAGCACATATGATGCCGGTTCTTTTAGTAAAATAATTAAAAGGGATTAATCTATTTAATTCAAAAAAAAACTTACAATTCTCCTGTCAATTGCATCTTTGATAATCATACACATATGGGAGTTTTGTAGGAACCAACAATACAATACAAAATTACATTTGTATAGCACCTTTCATGTCGAGAGGACGTCCCAAGTTACTGATGGGATTTTTGTGCTCAAAAACACTTGCATGGATATGAATCTATTGAACTGACTGCAAAATCTGTCAAACCAAAGTCATATGCTTTCTGAAAATGTAGAAAAGGTAATGCAATATATATCTATTCCCAGAGCTTTTCAGACCTTGGTGTGATTCTAAAGAAATTAAACCAAAAGGTTGCATTATGCATATTTTTAAATCTCCAACGGTATTGAAATTCTTTTAATTTGTTTGAGAATGTTTGCTACACAAACCCTATAACATAATTACAGCAGTCCCTTTGGAGTCATCTAATTCCACGGCCTTGCTCATTCCTGCTATCCTTTGATATTTTGCTATCCTTTTCCCCTAAGTATTTAGTCATAATTCTCTTTAAATGCCTCAGCTTTCACAGTAAATTGTGACATTATGTTTAAAATACTAGAGACAATAATGAGAAAACTTGCCCTTTCAGGGAAGCCCAAATTCAAATGTCAATAAGACGGGATTTTGAATTCAACTCTATCCTCCACCTATGAATACAATTCTATACCTTTCACAATAACCACAACAGAATTTTAAAAAAATTACGCAACTAGAACTCCCAATGTTTTTATATTCAAGCAATCTGATTTTCATAATTGATAGTTTTTAAAAGTAGCAAATTTATTGACTTGTGTCAATAATATATTGGGTCTTGTACTACAGTCAAGTACACCATTTAATGTCTGTTTAGTACTTGTAATGAATTTCAATTTTATAGGAGAAATACTTATTTTAAATTAGTCAGGATGCATATGGTAGAGAGAGAGCGAACAGATTGACATTTTGTATGGTCTATGAACTGAGTAGATTTTATTGGTTAAGTAGTCTCTTCTCTATGTTATATTATGTTCCTAATATATTTACTGAAATAATTGGGCCAGTGGTATAACAGGCAAGATGATTTATTTACTTCTCCAAGATAGTGATTATACTTCACTGCAGTGCAATCTTGTGTATTAACTTATAAAAAAGTGTGGCATTCCTTAGTGACACATACCTGAGGTACAAGGCTTACATGGATGTTGCAGACTTTTTCCCTTCTTGTTTTGAACTGGAATTGTCTGAATGCTTCCACAAATGGCATACTTTCTGTATCTTCAATGTTCCTCCTAACTGTCAAGAGAAAATAGAAGTATGAATACAATGTTCCATCTATAAAATGGCAATTAATTTTTTTTAAAAGTTATTGCCTTCATAGTTTTAAAAGTAAAACAGAGGGAATTGATTAACGCTTGTGCCCTCTAAGATAACGCTCAAGGTTAGTCATCATTGAACTAACCAGGCAGCACGAAAAAGGTCTTAGTCCATAATCTTTTTTAAAAAAGTGTTATTTGGAAGAAATTCTGTTTTTTACCAGTTTGGGTCAAGTAAGTCCTTTCACTCCAGTTGTTGGTTCCAAGCTCTTGGGAATACAACGCAAAAGTTTCCTTTGACCCATTTGCAAAGTTCAGGACTGAGCAGTGAGGTGGGTTTATGGTAAGAAGAGGAAGCGGCTAAAGGGAGGAAGGGCTACAACATACGCTTAACACCTGGGAGGCAGAGGTGGCTTAATTGTGAGTACATCTCTGTGGCAAGACACCTCACCTGACGACTTGAATTAAACAGAATGCTACAACTGAACCAGGTCCAATAGCCAGAAGCTAAGCTCTGCTTGTATTTTTTTACACACCAAAACACATTTTTGCCAGAGGCTTATTCTGAAACAATTTCCAAGGAAGCAACTGTTTCTCCAAGTCAAATTAAGTTCTACAAACAGCACAACAATATTGCACAAGCTACATCTCTATTTTTTAGCATTCCCCGTCAGCAAGTTCAGAAAGATCTTTTCAAGCTGCGGTTTTTATCTTAATGTCTTGAGGAATTACAAACAGTGATGTGTCAGAATGTTTTTTAAAGTTTGCTGGAGAATTAAGAATTAAGAGAAGAGAAAACAGATTTAGAACTCCAGGTTTTTAAGTGGATATAACAGCTCTTAACAAAAACAGTACTGGAAGATTCACCACTCTTCAATCTTTTCTGATGTTGGCAGAAAACAGCAAATCCATACTGGTGCAGTGTAGGTGTTTTATTTTCTGTTTAATATCAGTAACAACGTCTCACAAACCTTTTTGTAACAAGTTAATTCTCCTGTGTAATATAGAATATCACAACAATATCTTCAAGAAGCTAAAAATGATATTTCTCCAAGAGCATTTTGAAATGTCCTCCCAATATGAAAGGTGCTATATAAATGCAATTTGTTGTTTTTGTTGTTGTTTCGAAGAACTTCACACAGGGTTAACTTGAACATTTTCATCATCACTCCAAAGCAGTTCACGTATTAATCTTATTCCCATTTCCTTGAGTTAAAAGATAAGAAAATTAGATGGTGTTATATTCAGAATGCATAGCATGAAAACTTTGACGTGTCTTCTGAAACAGCAACTGATTCGAATATGGAGCTGTTTTTGTGCTCGGGGCAGAAGTAATCATAGTGACCATTGCATGACTAAACATTCATATCTGAATGGGTGTCACATTAACTGCATGAGGAATTCAGGATCAAAACGATGGGAGTTACTCCTGGGATCCTAGCCAATAAACCACTGGATAAAATAAGTCCATCACTTCATGGCTGTCTTTAGGAAGTTACTGTGTGAAAATTGTTTGCCAGATTTACCTACAAATGTTCAATACAATTAAATACAATTTACAATTCTGTAGCACCTTTTGCATCAGGAGATTGTCTCAAAGCCACTGTTGGCTGGACACCTGAGTTGGTGAGGGGTGGGGGAGGGGGGGGATTACAGATAATAAGGCTTCATAACAATTGAAACTGCTCAAATTCATTTGAAATTACATTCTGTTTTCCATCCTTAGTATTAGATTAAGTGGTGAATATATGTTTATTTGCATTAAATATCACATTAAATAGATCTTATCTGACCAAGCAAAGAGACATTTTGAGGTGCTGAGGTGCTTGAAATTAGAAGCCGCTCTAAATATCAGATTGCAACCCTAAAAAAAAGTAAGTGTTTTATTGGAATTTTTTTTAAAGTGCATATGTACACAATGCACATAAAATAATCAAAAAGGTGAATGGAATGTTGACCTCTATCTCAAGGGGCCTGGAATAGAAAGGGGAAGAAATGATGCTTCAGCTGTATAGAGCGTTAATCAGATCCCATCCGGAGACTGCATTCAGTTTTGGGCACCACACCTCAGGAAAGATATATTGGCCCTGGAGGGGGTGCAGCACAGATTCACCAGACTGTTACAAGGTGTAAAAGGGTTGTTACGAGGAAAGACTGTGGAAACTTGGATTGTATTCCCTTGAGGTTGAGGGTTATTTAATTGAGGTACTTAAGATGATAAAGGGATTAAATACGTTAGATACAGAGAAGCTATTTCCTCTGGTGGAGGAATCCAAAACAATGGGGCATAGACTTAAAATTGGAACCAGGCCATTTAAGAGTGAAATCAGGAAGCACTGTTTCACTCAAAGGTGGTAGAAATCTGGAATTCTCTCCCCCTAAAAGACCATGGATGCTGGATCCATCCACACCTTTAAGAGTGAGGTTGATAGATTTTTGGTAGGTCAGGGTATTAAGAGATATGAGGAGAAAGTGGGAAATTGGAATTGAAAGGATTAGTTGAGGTATAGATCAGCCATGATCTAATTCAATGGAGGAACAGGCTTGAAGGGTTGAATGGCCTCCTCTTCCTCTGTTCCTGTGTTCCTAAAGACGCTCTGATTCAATGATATTTGTGTTTTGCAGTGGTATTTTGGTTCCTAGTGGATTTAATATCAGAGGTACGGAAGGGAAAATACAAGCTATTTCTTGGGCAAGAAAAATGAAGAAACCGTTCCTTGGTAAGAAACGTTTATCAGTGGCTGGAGTTAATTTCACCCTGAGATTTAAAGAGATGTCAGTCTTCATAGCTTGCATTTAAAAAGCAAATAATGCATTAAACTTCATAACATAATACAGGCTGATCCCATTATAACGTGGTGGTTTGGGCCCATAAACTCAATCCCCGTTTTGCCCTGCCTCACTACATCGGGGTACTCAAAAAAGTCAGTGCTTCAGTATCATCGGTCACTGCTGACATCACTTCCAGTACAAAATGACATTGCTGGCTCTTTCTGCGCATAACAACAACAAAATTACATTTGTATAGCGCCTTTCACGTCGGGAGGACGTCCCAAGGCGCTGGATAGACAGAGTTACAGACCCGAGCTTGGAGTTGGGGTGGTGGAGGGCGGGGGGGAAAGCAGGGAGATCAAAAGCACGGTTGAAGACGAGAATTTTTAGGTGGGTTTTGAAGGTGGCGAATGAGGGGGAGAGATGGAGGGACTGTGGGATGGAGTTCCAGAGGGTGGGTGCAGAGTGGTGGAAGGCCCGCCCGCCGATAGTGGGGTGAGCGAGGCGGGGGGCGTGAAGCAGGCATGAGCTCGCTGAGCGGAGGGAGCGAATAGGGGAGTAGAGGGGTTAGGAGGTCATAACGTGCATAAATAGCACAGAAGCAGTAATGTTAATGATGCTTTCTCCAGAAAACCAGTCATTCAGGACCGGAGCCAAAAGTGTACTGAGGTACTGTATGGATTTACCACGTTAGAGCAGATCTGTGCTGTACTCAAGTCTATTATAATGGGTTCCTTCTGATCTTGGTAATGGGGTAAAATTTGAGCTGTTTCTTAATAAGGAATCAGATGGCACTACTGTTGACTTGTTGGAACTCTGTTCCAGAAGTAGATTGTATTAAACCATTGTGATGTACTCACTTATGTGATTCTTTAAGAAATCGTGTTCAGAAATGTTGCAAATAAAGTCCAAATGTACTTTATGTTTCAGGAGTTTGCTTAGGAATGCAGTTGGCAGTGGTGGAGTTTGCAAGAAATCAGCTGGGCTGGAAAGGTAAGGCTAATATTTGTTTCTTTAATTGAAGGTTGAATAAGAGAATGAACTGGATATATCACACAGCTAATTCCGGAGATTCTTTATCATGAAGTACACTGAAAGCACACTGCTTGACATCCGGCAAAATACTATTTGAACTCTAGAATAATCAACATTAGGGTTGACAAGGGTACTGACACAAGGGTACTGACCAGAGAAAAGACAGAAGACTTGTGCAGCACTGACAGACACTATAAGGAGGTTGCTCATCACTGGTAAGGTTCAACAGACTGGAAGCAAGCAAGTGTGGTGACAAAGCCATACCTGGCAACTATAGATTCATTAGTCAGGCCTCAATAAATGAAAAACTGATGGAGTCATTCATCAGAAACAAAATAAAAGATTACGTTTAAAATTAAGTTTGAAATAAATGCTCGCTAGCGCTCTTGCAAAAAAATAGATTTTATCTGACCAACCTCATGAACTTTTTTGAGGAGGTGATAGCTAAATTGACTGTGGGACATTGTTGATATGAATCATTAGTGGATGTTTGGATACCAAGTTAATCAAGCTCACTGAGACAGTCATACAGTTAATATTTTTATATGGCAGTATTAATGATGCATAAAGATGTAATTACCAATCTGGAGAGCAGAATACGGGCGAATAGCAGCGACTACTTTTCTCAGGTACTTTCTTGTTCTCTGGCTTTCCCAGATCCGTTCTGACTTCAAAGTAGTTAGTGCCCAATATTTATACACGTGAACAAATAAGTTTTTGTGACCTTTCCTTCAATTTTAACTGCAACACCATCTGGTTTGTCTCACAGAAACTTTTTTTGCTTTTACTCCTCACCTAATAAAGACCATCTTATTGGAACATTCCTTTTCTACATTACTAATATTAAGTACGGACTGCAAGGACACCTAATTAACACACAGACACCACTTTGTTATCTTACTTTTCACATAAGACAAAGACAATCTAGTTATGCATCTCTTTTTCATCCTTACTGTACCAATCTGAACAAGGATATTGGATAAAGACAGACAATGCTTATTTCCAGCAGGGTTATAAAAATTACACAAGTACGATCGTCAGCAAAATTTCACTTAAAAGTGCAGCAGTACAAACATTCAATAACTTTCTAATATAGCAAAATGCACAGCAGTGCAACAGCATCATAAACAACTTCTATAATCAATAACAACAACAAAATTACATTTGTAAAGCGCCTTTCACGTCGGGAGGACGTCCCAAGATGCTGGCCAGACAGAGTTATGAACCCGAGCTGGGGCGTCTACGTGGTGGAGGGTGGAGGGCAGGGGGGAAGCAAGGAGATTGAAAGCACGGTTGAAGAGGAGGGTCTTGAGATGGGTCTTGAAGGTAGCAAGGGAGGTGGTGAGGCGGAGGGACTGTGGGATGGAGTTCCAGACGGTGGGGGCAGAGTGGCGGAAGGTCCGCCCGCCAATAGTGGGGCGAGCGAAGCAGGGGACGTGAAGCAGGCCTGAGCCCGCTGAGCGGAGGGAGCGAACAGGATGGTAAGGGGTTATGGGGTTGCAGAGGTAGGGAGGAGCAAGACCGTGGAGGGCTTTGGAGGTGAGGACCAGGATCTTGAACTGTATCCTCTGTGTGATGGGCAGCCAGTGGAGTTGGGCAAGGATGGGGTTGATAGGGTCACGGAGCCTAGTGCGGGAGAGGACACGGGCTGCAGAGTTCTGGATGATCTGCAGCCTGTGGAAGGAGAGGTTGGGGAGGTTGAAGCAATGAATTTGCATAGTTGAGTCTCGATGTAATAAAAGCAGGTATGAGGGCTTCCACGGCCTGTGGTTTGAGAACATGTCGGAGCATTCACCCTCATGTTACCCTAATGTGAATGGGGTTATATAAATACAAGTTGTTGTTATTGTTATATACCATCTCTCCAGCTATTTTTTTAAAAGCATGCTGAAGTGTCTTATTATGTTCCAAGGGTAATATTGACCATAAAAGCTAATGCACTACATAGTACCGATTAGAACCAACCACAATCAGGATTTTCAATTTATTTATTAAATTAGTCACATCGTGCTGAACTGCAGTTTGTATGCTCTATTATAATTTGTAAGCTTTCTTTTGGCTGAAGGGAAATAAATGAAGACCACTTGGTGTATGAGTTGAATGCGCACAGTGGTGTGAGTTGAGAATAAGATTCTGGCCACTAACTATTCCTTACACACGAGTAGATTCTGTAACAGCAATTAGTATTTCCTTGTTTCCAAAATGGGCTTGTGGGAAGCTAAGATTAAAGAAACAGGCAATGGCACAGTCTCTGAGAATGAGGTCTGGATACAACTGTATAAGTCTCCCTTTCTACGAACATTGGTTCAACGCTTTCATTTGCAAAATACTGTGAAACACTTTGAGTCATCCTCCTGTCACGAAAGACACTGAATCAAATGCAAGGATTTTCAAAAATTATTATTAATAAATATCATGCCTAATTCAAGATAACATTTATCACAGACACATACACATAAGCATGTTGTTGTCTGAAATTCTGGAATGTATGCAGTGAATGTGTGGATAGCAATTTGGTGACAGATGGTTGTTATTTTAGCAGTGATATTGCCTCTGTTTTTGAGAAGACACAAGCGCAAAATGCTGGGCATTTTTTTTTGGCCCTGATTCTAGACAATACATAACAAGAATAATTCCTTCAAAAAAAAATAATAAATTGGTCACTCAATCCATGACTGTTTGTGGGACACTGGTGCGTGCAATTGGCTGCTGCATTTTTTTTACAAAATATGCAGTCCATTCACTTTACAGTATATTCTGTAAAGACGTCTCAAAGACACGATACGGCTCTATATCAAATACAAGGATGATTATTATTATTATTATTAAGAAATGTAAATTGGTTCCTGCTCCCCAGGAACCAATTTACCTGCTAGGAGGAACATGATGGCCTAAATGCATGAAATGAGTATTAGATAATGTCAGAGATTCATCGATTTGAAAAAGATATTTGGTGTATCATCACTAATCCGGAAACAAACAATGCAAACTTTACACAGCTGTAGATTCTCCTCTATTCCTTCCATCTGCTGTGCGCAATTGGCTGCCGCTCACAAAATATATTCAATTCACTTACAGTATATTCTATAAAGCGCTTTGAGACGTCTTGAAGATGTGATAAGGCGCTATAACAAATGCAATGATTATTATTATTATTTATTAGGATCGTCAGTTTTGACAGTATTCCTGTCTCAGCAGTTTTAGAGGGGAATATTTAAGTAAATGGAAATTAATTCTGTATTGCTCATTTTCTTTTGGTCGAAGTGCCTTTTGAGCATTAACAAAATCAGAGTGCATATTTGCTCAGCTACTTCAATTGCCACAAGTATTGAAAAATCAATACTGCTAGTGTTTCCATGACAACCAGATTACATATAATGACATATCTTCAGGAATATAAATTGCCATTTTAAATCAATTAGGCAACAACAAAATGAGACTTTTAAAAATTCACTGTACTTCCATTAAGCACATTTCTCATCACAGGGTATTCATTTTTATTATGTTTACAAATTTAAAAAATTGTAGTAAAAGGCACATTTCAATTGTATTAGTCCTATCCAAAGCATCCTTCTCTATGGATATGAACTCCTGGGAATTCCTGGGCATGTGGAGGTCATCCCACCACACTGAAGGCAGGTGTCTATCAGATAGCTATGAGGAAATTCTGACATTGGCAATGGAATGTCAGAATTGAGCTACTCCTCTCTCGTGGTCTTGGTAATCTGGTTCCTGAGCCGGATGGGTCCACAGTACTCCAGGGCACAACTGATGACCACAAGGCCAGGCTGGCTCATTGGCAGAAGTTGAAAGGAATCTTCTGATTCAGCTCTTGTTAATCCTGTAAGCCAAAGCCCTAACAGGTAGGGTGGTTCTAGCTGGACAAGCAGTAGGAAAGCTTGCCAGGCAGTGCTCTCATTGACAAGCTACGTGGTTTTAGCTGGTTAGACTCCAGCAGCACCCCAATGCACACGCTCCTGACAATCTGCACCCAATACTTTCTGGAATTAGAATAACAGGATCCATCCCTCCACAGAGAGAGTGTGCATTCCAATCTAATCAACATCTCTGGAATCTCCATGCATGGTGGGATGCATGGAATGTTGTTTGGTTTGGATACTCTTAAGTATGGTGACGGATTTCCCCATTTTCTGGACACTGCTGACCAAAATAAATTATCTAATCTAAAACATTTTGGTAATATTCTCCGGGGGGAGGTGGCGGGGGTGGGTGGGAGATAAGTGGGGTCTCTTTCATGCTGAACTGGTTCCATGGTGACATGTTTGACAACGGAATGTTAAAATCGACCCTCTCTGGCGGGGCTCATTGACATTATTCGAAAAGAGAACGCAGTTGGTCCCAGTGTCCTGGCCAACATTCCCTCAAATAAAATTGCTCATTCACATCATAGCTGCTTTTGGGATGCTGTTGTGTGCAAATTGGCTACTGTGTTCACTTACAAAATACACACAGTCACGATACATTATAGTTTATCCTGTGAAATGCTTTGGGATATCCTGTAGAAACGTGAGGGTTATTATTAGTCCTCGTAGTAGCACTGTTGTGAATCTCATTTAACTTGGGTAGGCTTGATATTCTTGAGCTTTGCTTCGTTACCTTTGAACAATTGAAAAGCAGAGGACTTACAATGTCGTTCACAGTAGCAATAATAATCCTTACATTTCATTTCTGGATGACTTCTCAAATCACCTCATGGGATCCATTGTCTAGTGTAAGTACTGTGTGTTTTGTAGGCGAATGTGGCAGTCGATTTGCATTTAGCAACTTTCTACCAACAGCCATATTGAATGAATTTTATTGGGGGGATTGTTAACCAGACTCCAGGAGAAACTCTGTCTCTTTTCAGATAGTGCCAAGGGATCTTTATCATCCATCTTAACAGGCAGACAAGACCTTTAGTATAATGTCTCATCTGAAGGATGGCAGCTCTAACAATG